GGTGGTTTGACCTTCGAATCTGTTCACCAAATACTTTCATTATAAATGGAAGTACGGCCAATACTTATGAAACAAGAGATTCCTCGAAATCTAACTTTTCCTATTTTTTCTTTATTTTTCGTTTTATGTGTTGATTTTTGTTCCAACAGCTTTTATCGACATTATTTTCCTGTCCTCATCATAGGATTTCACCAATGAAGAGCCCATACTTACGCCTACTGAGAATTCCACCAGTGAATTGGCTTCTCTGGCTCAAGATGCCTTCATCGGGTTTGATTGCGTCAACCCTGATTACAGTGTTCTTCGACATCACACAACTAGGCCTAGTCAACAACAGCCAATGCGTTCAGCCCTTGTAGGTGGTATGCATGTATCTGGTTCTGCCGCTGCCACCGCTCCCCCTGTCTCCCCGAACCCGGCTTTGGCAATGACCTCTTCCCCACCTCCCGGAAGGTCCACCGTCACTGAGCAAGTGGTTCCGGCTTCTTCGTTGATTTCTGGTTCAATTCCTCAACCAACTTCAGTCGGGACGGTGCGCAGCGGATTGATCCGATTAGTCGGAGACACCTCGTGCCAAACCCCTTCAGTGCAGACACCGCCGCCGCCATCTCCTAGTGAGGAAGCGACATCCCTACCACATAGCAACATTGGCTAATTGGGAGTGGATTGAAGTTAGCCATTTCCTATATTTGTGCTCTAGCCTGCATGACTAGATTACTCGAACCCCATGGGCCAAACCAGAGCCTCACTTTTCCTCCATTCCTTCCTGACCCTTCTTGCCTCCAAATAAACTTTTTCAATATGGCTATATTAAAGTTTGTCTATTTAGGCATAAATCTGCAAGTTTGCAATTATACATTCGATTGCACATGCCAATATACATTCATCCAATAAGCACACGATCCTTGTTGCTCTAGATTCCGGAACCGAGTTTGACTACTGTGTTCTTGTGTCTCAATTCTTTTCTCCCCCCAGCCCTCCTCAATATCGGTGACACCTCGCTCTTTCAGGCCGATTGGTGTAGTCCCTTTCCACCCTCCCTTGCCACTCTCCACCATTCGCCTTTCACGCGCCTTTTTCGTGCCCTGGACCTATTTCTTCAAAATCCGGCTTCTCTCTCCATCCTAGTGTCGCCGGTCTAACATTGTAGCACTACGGATTGCTTTCACCTTCAATCTGTCCTTTGATCTCCTTTGAGTAACTTACCACTCACCGATAAATGATTCTGGTAAGTCGGTAATCCACTTTACTTCTTCATCTACCTCCGCATGTTGAAATTCCTTTCAAAGTGTCCCCTCCCACACTATTGGGCTGTGTGCATTGACAAATCAGAGGGAGGTGAGTAGAATATGGTTAAAGAGTACTATCATAGTGCAAGTTGAATTTTTAATTAATCTCCGTCCATCTACTTGACTACTTTATTCACACAAATTTATCTTCATAATCTCTTACTTAAATCAATTTCCATACTGCCTGTTTGTGCAACCAAGCTACTTGAGGCCTGACTAGTCATTCTAAGCACTCTTCTGATTCCTTTTTCACAAAAATTCTGAGGATCTATCAATCTTCTGTACTCATTTTTTATTGCAGAACATTATTAGCTAACCATTATGATGCCTGTTTTGTCATGGTGATGGTCATAAATGCGTTCACTTGACTGTTGATATTCAAGTTGTTCATATTTATGGCCTTTTCATCTATCTCCTTATATATACTTTCATAAATACTAACAAGCAGACACTAAATTGCTTACGTTATATGTCTTCTAAATGCCGGTTTGACTTGTCCTCCGTTGCAGCTCATTTAAATATCCAACTACATTCCCTTTAGTCATTCCCTTGTTTTTACTTGTACCCCACCTTCAAACTAAAAAAAACAGGCAATGGCAAATCTCAAATATTTTCTTTCTCCTTTATCTTTTCTCTGTTCCCAAACCAAGAGCGAGGATCTCTTGTTGAGATTATGGAGCATGACATTTCATTGCTGTTTATTCTTAGTCGAGAGTGGCTTGTGTATTCATTCGTGAAAAATTGCATGCTTCCCTGCCTCAAGGTGCCACAGTAGCAAGGGCAGAATTCGGATGGAAATAATCGGTTCGTTCTTCATTTTATTTCCTCTTTATCTCTACCCGACCAGCAAACTTTTTACTTTTGGGTTCGGTAGCTTACCTGTGTCTGTAGCTTTTCAGGCAAGAAGAGCTATACCGGTCCTCACTATTTTCTTGCTGCTGCTCCTTATCCGATTTCTTACCCCTAACACTTCTTACATTCGGCACATGTCCACTTGTCACACAGGCTTGGGTTATTTGCGTTCACTTTTTTGCTACAGTTATCATGTCGATCTCCCACATTATATCTCTATTCTCATTCGATTCACTGTCCCATTAACTTTTATCAACGTTTTCTCTTTTGGGATTCTTGAATCATTCAATCCTTTTCTTTATCCATATTAAATTTTTCTGCTTCTCAGATTCCCTGAAATGGTCCATATGATCGAAAATTAGTCTTGCATTTCTGATCTTGCAAAGATTCACATCTCTCTTTATTGTTTCACTTGTTGGTGCCACTCCTTTGAGTTGCCGATTGATTGAGAGCATACCCTTATATGTACACTTAAATTAACAAATCAAATTTGGCATGGTGGATATTATACTTATCACATCCTTACGCTTTGTATTTTTTTCTGATGGTTAGACCTTTTTTCATAAGGGGAATGTTACGGTGCATAATTAATTGTATCTCATATCGGCAAGTTTGATGCTAGTAATGGTGCTGGTGGCTAGGCTACTCGTTCTATTTGCAAATTTACGCACAGGCAAGAAGATTATCTCATATATGCAGGTGGGTCATATTCATCTTACTTTCTGCCAGCTATTTTACGATTCGACTCTACCTTTTCCATTCTCGAGTTCTTGTCCTAATTTCCTTTCTTCCTGCACTGAGTCGCGATATCCTTTTACTAAGTTGCTCTGTCTATTTAGAATAGTGCCTTCTGGTCTACTTGAGAATTTGGAGTCCTTTTAGCTCCGCCAAAATAGTTTATTTGGTGACCAGTGTATCTATTCTTGTTTGTTGAGTCAGAAATTACATCTTACACGAGGGCATATATATATATATATATGACTTCAAAATTGCTGCTAACTCAATTTGTTGGTTACTTTAAGATGAAATATAATGCATACAATAGTTTGAATGCCTTTCCATGGCTCTTTGCTTACTTCTCAATGCTCTTAATTTTGCACAGATCTCCCCTATTTGATTCCTCCTAGTCTAAATTAGCTGAAAGCCTTTTCAATTTTTAAGCCGGAATGCACGTTTATTTTTACGAACCAGTGGTTCAATACACTGGTACTTCTATCTTATTGTTCATACTACTGTCTGCATATCTGATTTTTCAGATAAATTTTAATATGAGAAATCTCAACTTTGATCCACTCCTTTGCATCTATTAGCGCCATTTATCATGTTTCTTTTGTTTTAACCTACTTCCTTTTGTCCATCTATTCTAGTGCCTACCTTTACTTTGAATGTTTCAATCTACCTAAAACCATTTATCTTTCTTTTCTTTACTTGTGGAATAACTCACAATTGTTTTCATCTTCATATTTATTGTGCAATAATCAAAATGGCTAATTGCCTGCGAGATCTCTCTTCCTGTGATGACCACTTGCTTTGGTGGCTTAGTTAATCTTCACAAGTAATTTAATGCAATAGCTTTGACTGTGATTTTCTTTTTATACTCTTTCTTCCATACCTCTCAGCTTTCTACTCCCTTGAGATCATTCTATCTTGATGCATCTAAAGCAGACTAGATTTTTAAAACAGCCCATTTCATTTGGCTGATCGCTCTTGCAAAATAGTTTTTATTCGGCCTTCCCTGTTCACCACCTTCTTTTCGTTATGTAAACATGTTAGCAATCGTTTATTTGCTTAAATGAAACCTTATTAATATGCCAACAGTGACAACACAGCTCTTTTTTCTTAATTCAGTACAATATTAAAATGGTCACGTATGCAACCACTCGTATTTGCATGTATACACACCCTTGTATGTATATATGTATGCTATAAATCTTATATTTCTTGATACTTATTATGAGTAATGTATTCATTTCGCCTTCCAGACTCATTTTTTTGACTTTCTCCCAAGTATCTATATTATGCATATCCTTATCTTCTTTGCTCCCTAGCCAATTTCACTGTTCTTAACTATATTCACTTATGAATATCATAAATTTTGATATTTTATGTCGAAATATCGTTAAGTCTAGATGGAGTTATTTTTCATAATATTTTCTTTATGTCTCGAACACTGCTACTATTCTATCTATTATTCCCTGGTTGCTTTATTTTATTGAAACTATCCTCTTTTCATAACCAGTATCTTCCCTATTATTGGGCGTCTTAAGCTTGGCTATGCTGGCCGAGTCTCTCGTTTTCCTTGTTTAATAATGCTACTTATCTTCAATTTTGTCTTATCCATGTCATCTTCAAATAGCGCATCTAAAATTACTATTCAAATTATTCCTTGAAATCGCCGTTTTTGGTCCTTCAAAAAAACTTTCCCAACACCGATCTAATCGCTCTCTCTTCTCGTTTGTGCTCAATTTTCTGATCGTTTTACATATATATATCCATCCTGACTGCTGTAAACTCTTCGACTTTCTGCAAATCTTGTGTCCGCCATAATTCGTTTGTCTCTGAGCCCGTCGGCGATCACTTGTCTTGTTTCTATCACATATGTGCACAATTATTCATGGAGTTGCCTGAAACGATTCGAGCTTTTGCATTATTGATTTTAAGAAAATGACTAAAAGTTATATGCCTTTGTCTTCTCTTTTTTCATCTGACTGTTTTTTGTATGTACGCCTTGAATATGCTGAAATTTCGACGTTTCGCCTAACCTGGTGCTTCAAAGGTCTAATCATTGATCTGTTATTCCACCTAGGTATGTCGTTGTTTTAGGTTTCACCTAAATCACGTTGCTCCTTCCTCTATTTCTGTGTTTTGGACTTTTGATAACGAGATATCTTTTTTATGTTTTCGACGCCGGGCTTCGTATATAGTTGATCATTATTATGTAGAGCTACATTTGGCCTCTTTCCTTGCATAATGACATTATCATAACGAATCTTCGGCCATTTTTGTCATGTGTTCTTCTAGCATCGGATTTTTTACTGAGTACATTTCTAAACGTTTCGCTGATTTCTTCCGTGAGCAGCACTATCCTTAGAATCTGCTAGTAAAAGTGATACATCAGGTCATTTCATACTATCAGTTTTATCTTCAAACTATTTGGCATTCTCACTTTTGTCCTGTCCATTTTTTATCTCGTAGTGCTGTATCTTCCGCTTTGAATTGCTTTGTTTTAATTAGATTATTCGGAGGGTTTTACCTTTATCGTCAGTCGTCCACCCCTTCTGCTCGGATTTCTGACCCTGGATGCACCGTCCTGCAACCTAAATGAATCCATATTG